CAGCGCCTGACACAGGTTCGCGTCCCCGTTCGTCCGCCAGGTAAGCTCCCTCACTCTCTCTAGTGTTGCGCTGCCTGTCCTCCCCTCCTACTGTTAGCGCAGCGCCCGACACCCGCAATGACCTGGTCTCATTACCCGACAATCCTTGTTACTCCGTTTGCCCTATACCGTGCAATGCCGGCCCGACGGCACGTAAATGTCAAGACCCAGGAAAAAACATCCGGCCGTCGGACCTCGACCTGATTTGTGCGTGTTATCCTCACGCAGGGGCCATGCTAAACTTCTCTGTATCTTTCCAATTTTTGACGAATGTCCCGAAGGACACGGTCCCCGGGCTAACCAGCCCCCGACAATTTAAAATATTTGGTTTTACTTATCAAGTTTCATCATTCCGGGTTCGAACACGGGTCTGTATCCCGCCAGTTCATGGGTGTACCCACTGAGCTAGGCCCTTAGGGCCTGCCGCACACCCACCGCGCCGCGTCCCAAGACAAGACGAGGCGCGACTCCGACGCAGCCACGAAAAATGGTCTGTAATTGCACTTCAGGCAACCCCCGCGAATACAACACACCCCACGTGACTCTATCGCCACGGGTCGGCCCTGCCGCCGCGCCCGTAAGCAAACCCGAGGGGGATAGCCCTGACGGCCCTCAACCCTGTCGGTCCCTTCCGCGACGCTCCCCTGCAGTTGCCCCGCCGACGCCTGCTGGCCTCGATCCCCAAACCTTCGTAACGTCAACCCAATGCCGTAACCTATGGGCTAAGCCCAAGCCTGGGGCTGAATCCCGCAGAATACCATATAGGCAGTGCGGCGCGATGCTTTGGGCCAACAAACCGGCTGCGCGGCTCCCAGTGCCCGCGTCGACTTGTTTATATCATGCCATAATTGCCCCGCGCGCCATCCTACGACATCCTGCTCACCGTWCAAAATCGCGCCCTTATTGCCGATGCCGTATTTGGTTTCCCCCCCCCGCACGCGCGCTCGCCTTAATCAAGCGTACCAATCAACCGAAAATATCCCTGTTTCCTGCTCAATCAAATATAAGTAGATATTAATAATACTATTAAACAAACGACCAATGATCAACAACAGAAAAGAATCACGCGTGCCTTAAACCTGCGCGCCCACACACTCTCTACTCTAGTCAAGCATCCTATCAACGTAAAATACAGACGCAGCCGTGCCTAGCGCGGTATACCTAAACTATAGATTAAAACCTTTTTTCTGTCACTTGCAAAAACCAGGGCGGATACCCTTGTCAGGGTATTCGCACCGACACCGGACACCCCCGGCCATGGTCCTGGCAGTCCATACAGGCTGGACACTGTCCCGCAATGGAAAATGCCCCCCCCTACGTATGTAACCTCTACTACCTGGGTAGACGGGCCGTACTATGGGCGCTCTGGTGGCAGCGTTGCATTTTAGTCTTGGAGGGAGTTAGGATTGAGGGCCCTGAGCTGACAATGCAGATAAATAACCTCAGACCACAGCTGGACATCTTTCAGACCGATCGGGATATCAAGAGGGCAATCACGGGGTTCTGTATGGAATGGTTGGGTGGGCAGCGGGGCAGATGGATAGCTCGCATTGAGTGGTGGGGGGATCGGCCCGCGGGAACGGAGCAAGGAATCCCCCGAGATTACAGACTTGTCTTCAATGATTGGACCCAAATCGACCCAAACTTCCTGATGAGGGCCCCCTCTGACTTCCCTGACCCGTTCCCTCCTCACCCTTTGGCCCTGATGGAAGTTGTTACATGACTCAGATGCAGGGAGTGAGATGTGACTTGCCTCACCGGTGCCCCCCGGATGTCGCTAGTTACAGGTCTCCTCCATTGGAGCCCCCTGGTGACAGGGCAGTCACTGCTGGCAGCCCTCGTCGCCCTTGTCTTTCCTGCCCTCAGACAGTCTCAATTTCTGTTTAGATGGTTCAGAGGTTGAATAAGTCCGCAGTCGACAGTTTTCGGGAGCTGGTAGGGGGTAGAGGAGCCAGTAAATAGCAGAAATTATCTGGCGCCGATTTTGAGGTGAAGAGGTCCCCTACCCCGATCCGGCTCAATCAATGTCAGTCCCTTGCTTGGTCAATCCCCTGGCTCTCACGGTAATCAATGCCAGCAGGACTTGTCTTCTTCTCTTTTGTATCACATTTTGTATCACATTGTACATGGGACGCTGGACCCGTTTTCCAGCAGGTGATGCTCCCCACCAATAGATGGAGCCTTCCCCCGAGTGGTAGTGGTGTCTGCTCTTATCAGCACCACTATCACCGGCGTGAATGGTTCAAAAAAAAAAAAAAAAGTATGTGTGACAGTCTAAGGCGGGAAACCACAGTAGTGAGGAGAGGCCCTTTGTGTGTTTCCTCAGAGGATTGTATGCCTCATTGCACTGGCACTTACAGAAATGTATCCAGCCATTTTCAGGGCCGAATCGGTGTTCCCTTTTTTTTTTTCCTCACTCTTTCTGGAATCTGACAGCGGAATCCGTGATCAGAGGATAGTAACCTTGATCACAATGGCACTTAGAGGGGCACACTCACACTACCACTTCCAAGAATGTACACAACTGCAATCACGAGGTGAGTCTCTCCTTTGTTTTTTTTTTCCTTGTTTTGTGAGTTTCACGGCCGCAACTTTTCTTGTTCCTTTTTTTTTTTTTTTCCCTGT